ACTATCTTACCCATTACCAAGATAGCTTCCCCAGTTATCACCTCTAATACCATTAGCTCACAGACATCTCACTCTCCCCACCTCTAATATAATTAATTCACAGACACTTACCTTCCTTCCTTCCCCTCCCCTGCATTCCCCTTGTTCTGAAATTTGATTTGTCCTTTTCATATATGTGTTCATTTTTTTAAATTGTATCCTTTGGTATATATGGTTGTGACTATTTTCTTCCACTATTTGATCTGAGGAAGTGGGTCTGGCCCACGAAAGCTCATCACCTAATAAACCATCTTGTTAGTCTTTAAAGTGCTACATAGTCCTGTATTTTGTTTCAGCTACACCAGACTAACACGGCTACATTTCTATCACTATATCAACTATGATTGTGATGGGACAAAAGTTATCTGAGTCTCAGAAAACTGGTGTGGCAAGGAGCAGATACGGGATATTGAGTAAAATAGGGTACAGGTTGAACCTCTCTAGTCTGACACCCTTGGGTCCTGACTGCTGCTAATCCAGAGAATTTGCCCTATTAGGGGAGGTCAGTATTGTCTTGCAGTACTATTAACACTTCCACTGCTTACTGAGCTCTTATATTTAGGGGTAAATTATAACTAAATACCAGCACAGAACACTGAGAGCTGCAGGAAACTTGGTCACACCCATGATAAGTGGACATCTGGCTAACTAAAATCATACCGAACCATGGATGTTGATGGACCAGAATGTGCTGGATTAGAGAGATTCTACCTGTACTACCTTCAGCATCTGCTAGTTAGTAGTTGGCTGTTGTGATGTTACCATAATATTTCTGCATTACCCTTAATACAATAAACTGGATTAATGGAGGTAGAAGGGAATTAATTGCTTCTGGACCTGTTGGTTTGCATTCTGAAGCATGAGAGTTTGAGATTAAATCTTTGTATAACAAATGTATTCAGCATTTTCATTGTTATTGCCGTTTCACTGCTCTTGTTTTTGTATTTCTGTCTAAATACAGTGAAACGATTTCCCAGATGTTGTGCTCTGCTTGTTGAAAATAATCTGGAGAGGGGATCCATATGTGCATCTTTTAATTCCCTGTTTCTATGTTGTTGTGAACAGATTAGAAGTTGGCTATGGCTGTTCTGTTCCTGTGGAAGGCAGCTGCGTTTGTACAGAAGCACAGGACTGGCTTGTTGGCAGTTTCCTGCGCAGGACTGTTTGGGGCTAACCTTTCCTATCATGTCTGTCCTGAGCAGACGTTCAAACTGTGGTATCAGTGCTGGACTCGGGGGCAACCGGCTGAGCTCTCAGAGAAGCTACGCAGCCTCTTCAGTGACGTCCTCCAAGATGTTGGCGTGAAGTCTACGAATTGTTACCAACCCTTTGCAGCTTTTGGCTTCCATCCAGTGAGCGCTGGGATCCCATGGCTGCCTGCAGGCTCTCTGGTGGGCCTCCCTGCCAATTTCAATAGCACAGCTGAGGACAAACAAGGAATTGTCAACCGTGTCATCATGATAAATGGCAAAGAAGTGGATTGGGAGAGTAAAGAAGGGCTAACTTTGAAGGAAGCCCTGATATTTTCACCAGAGGCTCAGAAGTTTGCCATTGCCAGAGAGATTGTGTATTTGCAAAGCAATAGCCCTGTAGTTTATGCAGCTGTGCTGCCTGTTTGCCTGGCTGGCACATGTCTCTCTGGAGTGGCTATAAAGCAACTTCTGGGCTTGTATTCTGGCCCCATGGTGTTTCGATGCATTTATAACATCACCCTGGCAGCCGTCGGCCTTATTGGCTACTTTCTTGCTTACGATGCCGTGAGCCAGGCACTTGACTACAGGTCGGACAGGCAGGTGGCCATAATTTCCAAAGATTACGCCAAAGGAGGGGTGGAATTCTACAACAAAGTCCTGTCCCGCAACAGGACTCTCCGTACTCTTTTGGGCAAACAAGGAGAGAAAATGTATGCCCCTAGTGGTAATCTTTTCCCTAGGTATGGGTTCCGATTAAAACACGCTCCATACACCTCCAGGAGAGACTTGATCATTAATATTTTAAGAGTGCCCCAAGCATAGGAAGTGAGTGATTTAGATTTAAAATTTGTAAATTATGTATTCACTTGGAACGCCACTAAGATGCCTCTCTCCCCACGCCCTCGCAACTTCGTGCGTGCTCTATTTTTTATTTTGGCATATAGTCTTGAAGTAGTGTTTAATTTTTCATTCACTAGATGCGTCTCTTAAAAAATTAAAGACCTATTTCAAGCGTTCTCTGTCCTACATGCATCTTAAACCCCGAAGCCCACGGAGGGAGTGTTACTTCTTAGACACTGCTCTGGAAATGCTGGCTCTTTACTGGCCTATAGTTTTGAAATAATTTCTAAAGAATGGAAAAGTTGAAGTATGATGCAGAGAATGTTTGTGGAATTGATTTAAAGATGGGTAACCTCAAATATGTAATTGAACAGTTGTGTAACTGCATAAAGTTTTATGGGGTGCCAGATGGGAGCCAGTCTGTGAGGGGAAACCGGTTTAAAACCTGCTCCCTGTGCAGACCGGCTGCCTGCTGCCCTGCACTGCTGCCTCTGATACAGAGGCAGTAGCACGGGGTGGCAGCAGTCCCTGTCCACGGGACAGAGTCCAAGTTCCCTGCGGACAGAGGCAACAGCAGGGGCAGGAGGAGCAGCCTCTTTCTGTGGGGAGCTCGGACCCCCCACAGACCGTGGCCACCCCCCGGTAC